TTCAAAGTCATCTATAAAGTCAAAAGAAGCCTTCCAAAATCGACAAGCTTCCGTATACTTTGTATTGCCGAAGCCTTAGCGATTTGGATAGAAAAGCCTGAATTATGCACACAGAAGAAACTTCTCCACCCCCTCCTACTACCGTGGGTTTAATTTCAAGTTCATCTGTCATCAACATTTTGTTATCAAAATTTTTTGCAATATTCGTATAATAATTTTTAGTAACTAACCCATTCAATCTTTTCACCTATTATCTAGTTTATTTTCATAATTGTCTCCATACTCCTTCACGAACATCTAATCTTTCTAAACATGTCTATATTACGTAACCCTACTCACATCTTACCAATTTTCACCCCACTTAGTTACAACTTTGATTATTAATCACACATTTTAATTTCTATATTATTTTGATGACGTAACCCTACTCACATCTTACCATTCCTCACCCTACTTAGTTACAACTTTGATTACTATTCACACAATTTAATTTCTTTATTATTTTGATGATGTAACCAATAACCCACACTAACTGTTATTTTGATTTTGATTTTGACAAACCTTATGCACACACACACAAAATTAATTGTATATATTTGCGACTGTACAGCTAAGAGAATGAATTCGCCGAAAAGAGACTCTTCGCTGAACTTGTTTGTTCTTATTTCAATGTCTTAATGGGTATTTTTCGCGAATTAAAAATAAGCAAGGACCCTCTGACAGTGAAGGAACTGAATGGGTTTCTGCGGTATTCTGTCAAGCTTGCTGAAGTTAATGCGAAGATTAGTTTTCTCAGAGACTGTATGAATAATCATGAATATCCCAAGTGGTATTGGAAAGCTCTACGTCGCAATCACATTTATCCGAACTCGAAATCCCTCAAGCGTCATACCCTGAACCATATTGATTCCATAATATCACGTGTGCCAGAACTCGAGAGGAACATAGCGCAACGATCCTCTGCGTTACACGAATTGTCTAGTGATGAACGACAAGCATTTACCGACTATGTCACTCTGGTTACGGAGAAGCGTACACAAGCCATCCATTCTAACTTATTGAAAAGTCTCAAAGCTACAGAAACACGAAGCAAGTTTCCAGAAGATCCCAGCAAATTTGTATTCAATTATTCTTCAGTAACGTTATCTCCCATACAATTGGAGGCCTTGTCTCTTGGACCAAGATTTTGTGACATGAACTCAAACATAAGCAGGCTCAATACTTATGTCGAGTTTGAAAATTTGATCAATCAGACTACTGATCTTGTCCCAGCTTCCGAAGAAGAATTCAAACATTTTAAGTCTACTATTCTAGACTCCTGTCAACAGTATCTCAATACAAAGTCCAAGTTCAACATTCTTTTGACCAAAGAGCATAGAGAACAACTCAACCAACTAAGACAGAACAAAGAATTGCTTATCACACGCCCTGACAAAGGTACAGGTATAGTCTTAATGGATAGAAAAGATTATATTGATAAAATGGTGGCGATTCTCTCAGATAACAACAAGTTCTCAGTATGCGAGAAAGAGAAAGACAAAACCGAGGCAACGGAAAAACAGCTAACTGAGATCTTGAGAAAGCTAAAAACTGATCAAGTTATCCCTGAAAATGTTTTCGAGAGCATTCGACCGACAGGTTCAATAATACCCCGACTATACGGATTGCCAAAAACTCATAAACAAGGTCTTCCACTGCGCCCTATTTTGGACATGTCGGGATCTCCGTATCATCCAATAGCGAAATGGCTAGCAGAACTCCTACAACCTGTTAGAGAACGAATTTCAAAACATTCTCTTCGAGATACTTTTGAATTCATCGATTGTATCAAAGATGTTAAAGTGGGAGACAAACGTATGATTTCACTCGACGTCGAGTCTCTCTTTACAAACGTCCCTATCACTGAGACGATTTGTTTTCTATGCAAATACTTGGAAGAAAACAACCTGAATATTGGAATACCTACCACTAAGCTAAAAGAACTCCTACTCAGATGTACCCTAAATGTCCAGTTCACATTCAATGGGAACCTCTATAGACAACAAGATGGCGTGGCGATGGGATCACCTTTGGGTCCGGTGTTGGCTGATATTTTCATGGCAAGTTTGGAAAATGGTCCGCTGAAAGCAACCATCGACAAATTCTTCTTATACAAAAGGTATGTTGATGATACTTTCGTCATCTGCGATAACAATTGTGATCAAAATATGGTTCTCCAAGTGTTCAATAGTTGCCACCCCGCCATCAAATTTACAATCGAAGTAGAAACCAAAGAGACAATCTCCTTTCTGGACGTTCGTTTAAGTAAGAAGACCGATGGTACCTTGAACAGATCAGTACACAGAAAACCTACATGGAACGGTCAGTTGACAAACTTCTACAGTTGGGTACCAATTAGTCGAAAGCGAAACTTGATAATATCTCTGGCGACTAGAATCCGAAAAATCTGCAGTCCTGAATCAATAGAAGAAGAGATCGCCCTCTTAAGAAAGACACTGCTCGAGAATGGCTACCCACCCCGTTTTATAGACAAGCATATTAAGCCTAAGACTTACAAAGAACAACCCACTACAGTGCAGAAGAAGATGGTCTACATGAATGTACCCTTCAAAGGTGACCTTCTGGCTGACACTTTGAAGAAGAGGATATCTACTGCTCTAAGAAGGACATTCTTCGCTGCAACACTACGACTGACATTTTCCTCCCGGCCATTGTTCTTCAACTACTCTAAAGATAAACTATCGCATTTGACCACTTCCATGTGTATCTACCGATTCACCTGCTCTTGCGGAGCGAGGTATATAGGTCGTTCGATGCGAGTTTTATCTAAAAGAGTTCAAGAACACTATCCCGCCTGGCTACGGAAAGGTAACAATGGAGCAATAAGGAGCGCCATTATTGAGCATGTACTCAACACTGGTCATTCGATTTGCAAGGAGAAGTCATTCAAAGTCATCTATAAAGTCAAAAGAAGCCTTCCAAAATCGACAAGCTTCCGTATACTTTGTATTGCCGAAGCCTTAGCGATTTGGATAGAAAAGCCTGAATTATGCACACAGAAGAAACTTCTCCACCCCCTCCTACTACCGTGGGTTTAATTTCAAGTTCATCTGTCATCAACATTTTGTTATCAAAATTTTTTTGCAATATTCGTATAATAATTTTTAGTAACTAACCCATTCAATCTTTTCACCTATTATCTAGTTTATTTTCATAATTGTCTCCATACTCCTTCACGAACATCTAATCTTTCTAAACATGTCTATATTACGTAACCCTACTCACATCTTACCAATTTTCACCCCACTTAGTTACAACTTTGATTATTAATCACACATTTTAATTTCTATATTATTTTGATGACGTAACCCTACTCACATCTTACCATTCCTCACCCTACTTAGTTACAACTTTGATTACTATTCACACAATTTAATTTCTTTATTATTTTGATGATGTAACCAATAACCCACACTAACTGTTATTTTGATTTTGATTTTGACAAACCTTATGCACACACACACAAAATTAATTGTATATATTTGCGACTGTACAGCTAAGAGAATGAATTCGCCGAAAAGAGACTCTTCGCTGAACTTGTTTGTTCTTATTCGTGTTATCACAGATTGCCTCACTTTTTCATCCATATTATTGATAAGACCATTATTATTACTATTATGACTAATTATATAATTTATATTCACCATTTTATTATTATCCTATAGACAAAACACCATGATGATTGGTTTATATTTGAATTTTTATTTGTAAAGTTACGTCGGTGTATATTAGAGTTAAACCTGATGTGTTGATCGAAATTTTAACAAGTTACTCACTTATTATGGCTACAAAAAGAAACACTCGTCTTATTTCCCATCTGATTGTTGCAATTGATCACTCATAACACTCATATTATTATGATTATTATTTCTGAATGTACATTATCCCATATTACCGATTTGCATTCTGTTATGATGCTAGATCTTTGTTACGAGGTAACTGCTTAACTACTGACCAGTGCCCACTTAACTGGTAAAGCAGAACACGTGAGAATCAGCGGTAAAACCAGAATCATTTATTTATGACAAAAGTGACTGTATTTATACAGAAAATAAGGTAGACTGGAAATCAACCAATCCGGTTGAGAGTTTGGAATTGTGCAAGCGTCCAATCAGAAAGCAGAAACAAATGCATGTCAACGACATGATAATAAACAATTGGTGGATGGTGGCTAGCAGTGGAATCCAGGATAACGCGAATTTCGTCCTATTTGGGACTCGTCAGCTGGATATACCTGCATTTCTCAGTGAGTGATGATGTTCCCACCGAGGCTCGAACCCAGTACCCATAGTTTCAAACGCCAAGTGGATAACGCTTTGGCGTTTGAAACTATGGGTACTGGGTTCGAGCCTCGGTGGGAACATCATCACTCACTGAGAAATGCAGGTATATCCAGCTGACGAGTCCCAAATAGGACGAAATTCGCGTTATCCTGGATTCCACTGCTAGCCACCATCCACCAATTGTATACTAACTAAATGCCTGGACATCGTCGAAGCATCTGCACACGAAGCCGACATGTCAACCTGAGACCAAGCACTTCGGTCCAATCAATCGACGGGAAAATAAAAAATTCAATTCAATGACATGATAATAACTTGATAATTGCATGTGTTTTGCCTCTGCCTAACATATTCAAATGTCTAATCATGAATTCCACTCATGTATACAAATGAAGGAAACAAGAAAGTTGTGTGAGTGAGCGAGTGAGTGACTTGATGTGATGATTATGAGTGGCAGTAATAATCAATTGTGCTCGAAATGGTGTGTGGTCGGATCAGTTAATATTACTTACTGTATAACAAACACTACACTACACTCTGTGTGACAGTTTATCAAAATGAAGTCTAATCCATAATAATGAATAACAAAAATTACAAATAAATGCATTAAAAAAATTAATAAAACATGATATCTCATTGAACGCCAAAAAAACTTACTACTTGCTCAAACCAACTGGAGCACTAAATCCTCTTATGGAATGTTTTGGAGATAAAAATGGATGTAGACTGCTGCTGTCAGTACTGCCAGAACTCGCTGCGTTAACCGGCTGTCGCATAATCATCGATATATTGGAAGGAATTGCACCGTGAACTTCACCACCATTTGTCGAAGTTGAACAAGAAATAACTTCAATATCTGATCCTGTTGTGTTGGTATCAATATCTTCATCTAAACAAATCGATCGCTGAGTAGTGGTAGTAGTCAATGGGAGTACTTCTTCTTCTTCAACAGGTGAAGTACACTGTACAAATCTTATCTCTTCAACTGATAATGATTTTTGAGTTGATAGAATACTCTTTTCCACGTAATGCATGTTTCTGTCAACTTCCAGTGTTGTTGATTTTACTGAAGTGCCATCTGGAGAAGATGTCATTGGTGATGATACACTGGAATCATCTTGAACAAGAGTAGGTGAGTTCTGTTGTGGTTCATCAACAAGAGAACACACTTCAATACTTGTAGAATCAACATTTGAAGGCGGCGGCAGCGGAGAATTGATTACTTGACTTGAATTTAAAAGCTATGGAAAAAAATTTTCAAAATTTTTAAGACTGATAAGTTAACTTTTGGGAGGGGAAAAATGTTATACATATTATTGATCATATTGTGCTGGGAGCTGGCTGGCTGTTAGTCAAAATTGGTGGACAGTAATTTACACGTCACCAATGTTTATGTCCCCAATTATTGGTCGTGAGAAAATTATGAGAACAAAGGCTTTGCGTAGGGCGGATACAGTTAACATATAGATGATTTGACATTCAAGAAACAATTACAGAGAGATGCAAAGTTACCTATCTGTGAGAAACAACCAATCAGAAGGCTGTGTTTGTCTACTAACAATAATCTATAGTATGTACATGAAAATCTATAAATAAATGTGTTAATTTCCATAATAAAGGATCTGTTGTCTTGTCTTCTTGTTCTTACACTACTACTACAATGATGTTTAATTGAATTTTACATTTTCTCGTCCATCGATTGATTGATTGATTGATTGGACCAAAGTGCTCGTCGGTCTCTTAGGTTGGCTTCTTGTTGTGCAGATGCTTCGACGACGATGTCTGGGCATTTAATTAGAAGAATTTAATTGGTGGATGGTGGTGACTAGCAGTGGAATCCAGTCCAGGATAACGCGAATTTCCCTCGTCCTATTTGGGACTCGTGGTCAGCTAACTGGATGTACCTGCATTTCCCAGTGAGTGGTGAAGCCAACATTGTCAACCTGAGATTGAGCACTTCGGTTCAATCAATCAATCAATGGACGGGAAAATCTGAAATTCAAATAAATAATTAATATGACCCTTTGCACAATAGGTGGGGTGGCTCTCTTGTGGCCCAAGTGGTCTAGTGGATAAGGCTTTGGCTGCTAGTGTTTGAAACTATGGCCACTGGGTTTGAGACTCCGTGGTGGTGGGAACATCATCACTGACTCACTGTGGAATGCAGGTACATCCAGCCATCTGACGAGTCCCAAATATGACGGAGGAAATTCGCGTTATCATGGACTGGATTCTGTCACTTCTAGTCACCATCCACCAATTACAATGAAGTTTGTTTATTGTTATTTTGTAGCAGAATTCGTCTGTATCTAAGAATGACTGGTATGGTACTTACACACATAAAAGGGATTTAACAAAAAATAACAATAGAAACTGTCGTCAAATTAAAGTTTCTTCTACATCCATTTTCATTATAACGCAAGTAATCATGAAGGTGTTGTAGTTCATTGTCGCTGGCTATCGATCGGCCAAAGGGCGGGTGTACTGCTCACCAGTCCGCTTCGTCCTCTTTTAAGGCCAGCTGTGAGTGAGACCTGGCCATTGAGAGTGAAAGACATGAAAAGACCGGCTGGCTGTCGCTAATCAAAGGTGCCTGCCTGCGTTCTATCTCCCGTGTTAGTTAGTGGTATAATAAGGTGAACAATATTGAGTTTAGGCGTCGGTCGAGTGCTAGATAAGGTGGGAGGGGAAATCAATCGACAATGAGGCTGTGAAATTACATCGACTGAGTGAGATGGTTAAGGCATGTGTTACGTGTGCACTCCTAGTCATCGCCTTCCTCGACCGACGGGCAATGTTAGCTAACATAGGGTCAGACTGGAAAAGAGCTAGCCGGTGGTGGTCAAACCGAAACATGGCTTCATCAGTCAATGAAATCCACAACAGTTAGTTTAAGCCAGCCAGTCATACAGGAAGGTGTAGACTGGCTTCCTGGTTGGGGTCCTCGGTACGGTAAAAACCAATGAAGGCCGGGAATAATTAGTGACATGGCTAAAACTCATCGTTCTCAATGGCTGGCTGGTACAGGTGCATTCTTCTTTACTTCGGCTATCTCCTACGGGAGGATGAGCCGGCTTCATAAACATCTCGAATCATCGCTGCCCAGGCGCGGTGATCTGATGCAAGGTTTTGCCACAGGGTTATCCAATTCTTGTTCCACAGACGGAGTCCATAGACGGTTTGTTGCCCCAGTCACTCCATATCAGCCTTGACTGCACCAAGCCATGTTTTCAGCAAGTTCATGAAGTTTCATGGGAATTAGGTACGAGTGATGTCCCCAGAATCGCTCGACCTTCTGTTTGAGAGTGCAGCTCTAGCCTTTACACAACCAACCAAGTGTGACCTCCTACAAGGCAGTAGGAGTGGAGTAGGGAGTCCACTATCCATTGAAAGCCAGCCGATGACCGGAGTCCGGTTCATACGCCTTTTTGAATGGGGCCAGACATGCACCAGGGCATCCAATAAGCCCTTTGTCTATACGTCTGCCTACCAGTGAGCTCCGGTGAACTTCATACGCCAGTCGTTGGAGGTTTGGAATCAGGCAGGGTTTAGCCATCTCCCCTAGACTGTCATCCAATGGGCAGTCAACCCGATGAAGAGCGCCGGGCATCCGCTTTTGCCCTCTCACTTCAGTGGTGAAAAACACCTCCGCCATGTGAAGGCAGTGAGTAGGACTTCTTCAGGAGAGGCTACGTAAGACGCCCGGTCACATATGGGAGCATTTCAATGTCTCTATTATGGAATTCTTGTACTTTCTTCTCTTGTTTTGTGTGCTACATGGAGGGAGTGTGGTGACTTGAACTGGTGCACATCGGTGCAAATTTCTATGTTGAAAAGAGATAGAGTCTGATACATGCAAAAATAATGACCCAGCCTTAACTGGTTAATGCAGATAGGGTAGAACCTTGGCATTAGGGAATGCACCAAATGAAAAATGTAACAACAGCATACAGAGAAGAAAGTTAAAAAAAACTTCGGTTGTTAGGTGGTGAAGTTCAACAATAGCGTCCCCCCCCAGGAGTGTGAACGCTCCAATAACCTAGAAGGCATGTTAGTCTTTGGCTGTGACGGCATCTGTCATTATATCTTTTTTGCTGAAATATATCAAATCTATTCACCAACTTAAGAGCAAACTTCACCTAGATCACGTTTTTTAAGTACTATTTGGACAATATGTTAATAGCTCGTTAGGGTTAGGATTAAGGTTAGGTTTAGTGTTAGGATCAGGATTAAGCTTATGGTTACGATTAGGGATAGATTTATAGATGATGTCATTTATTTTAATTTGTTTTATTATCCACGTTTTCCTGCTAAGCAGTCGTCTATCCTCTTGCTGGAAACCATAGTAATTCAACCGAGGGCTTTTTTGGAAGACTGCAAGCAGGATGACGGAGAGAGAGAGAGAGATAAACGATTCCCGAAAAACAGTTTATGTGTAGTCATCTCGGTGAATGCACATGCACAGAAACTAGTCTAACTAAGCAACTCATACTCCTCGTTACAACTAGGACGCATTTTTAAGCCATGTGTCAGAGAAAGATAACCTGCTTTTAATGCGTTTTCAAGCATTTTCTTGTCAATTTACACATCATTTTTTGAGCGAACATTCCCAGATTTTTATGGTTGATTATTATTGTATCCTTTAGTTCCTAGAGGAACATAGGGCTTCAGCTGCGCACCTCCATTGCCTTCTGTTTTCTGACAACTTTTTCACCCCGCTCCAAGTCTGCCCACATGCTTTCATCTCCTCCTCCTCACATGACCTCCTCCAAGTCACCCTTGCACTGACGACCAACTCGCCACCCGCTTCCCTTTCGGGTTCTACTCGAGCAATAGCTTGTCTAGTGATGTCACTCACTTGATGGTTTCCTCAGAGTATGGCTAGCCAATCCATCTCCATTTCTTCTTGCCTATTTGTTTCACAATCGGTTCCTGCTGTGTTGGTTCGCTCATTGTCAGAGATCCTTCCCTGTTGCTAATCTTTTCTGGCTGGCCATCTGATCTTGAGTGATGTTGAGCGAAGACAACTGTTGATGAAGGTCTGTAGTTTGTTTGAGATGCTCTTCATGACGCGCACTGGCCAAGTCTCTCATCCGTATAGTAGCACTGACTGACTTTACATTGGAGTTGAAAATCCGGATCTTATTTTCATTTCCATGCTGAGTGCTGCTGACCTCCACACAGATTTGAGAGAAATGAAAGCTTGTCTTGCTTTTCCGATTCTGGCTTTGATATCCTCGTCAGTTCCGTCGGCCTGTAGTTGGAACGATGCCTCCCAGGTAGGTAAAGGAGGCTGTTTCTTTCAGGTTCCTCCCATTTATGCTGATTGTTGTCTGTTGTTGTTGTTGATGTTGGCTAGGAATCTTCATCACCTCTGTTTTATCTATGTTCACTTGAAGTCCCATCTTTGATGCTTCTTCTGCCAACTTGTTGCTTTTCACTTGCATATCTTCCAGTTTGTGGGAAATCAGACATATATCATCGGCGAAATACAGATCCTTGATTGATTAGCTGAAGGTTAGTTGTGTGCATTCACGCTCCTGGGACGACATTATTGTTGGACTTTGTCAGTTAGGTAAGTGTGCGACACTTGTTTAACAACTAAATGAAGACAACCGATACGTTACTTCTGTGTGCTCAAGATGGAATAGCGTTTCTTCTGCACGATATCCATGCACCAATTTCAAAGGAGACTTCCGAACAAGTTCAATCCATCCATCCATCCATCCCGAAGAAGATACTTCTGCTTAATCTCTGTCTGTCTAGAATACAAAGGTGACATTGAAGCAGAAATCCTTCGTAAATGCCTTTCCAAGTAGCTGAGGAAAAGATACTTCACCGCAAGCCAGTGACTAACATTTCCCTGCAACAAACTGTTCAGCCAGAAGGCGAAAGACAAGCTGTCGCATTAGGCCACTTCAACGTGCATATACCAGTTTACTTGCTCTCTGATGGAGCTGCTGAGTACATCGGCTGTACCGTGCACCAACTTACTTGAAAAACGCGCTGGTGAACACTACCCAGCCTGGCGAGTAAAAGGAGATCGAAAATGTGTGTATATTGTTTAGTGACAGAAAATCTGGTCAATTCAGGACATTCAGTGCCATTCGAAAAATCCTTCAAAATAATCTACAAGATTCGATCAAACCTATCAAAAGAAGTGAAATCAAGACATTAGGGCATAACCGAGGCACTAGCCACCCAAAAGCTCAAACCCACGCCTTGTATGCAAATGAAAACCGTTCAACCCTTGACCCTGCCGTGGCCATCATAAACAGGTAATTCTTTTAGTAATGACCATCCCATGGCCTTTCTTATCCGCACTTCCTGTTTATTCATATTATTTTAAGTTTTTCTTAATCCCTATTTACGCTACCATATATTTCACATCCGAACTTCCTGTCTATTTTGTCACTTTTATTATTCCTACATATTTAATCCCCGATTGCATAAACAATTATTCATCACATTAGTTATGATCCCACTAGATTTTGTTTTTATCCAAACATCCTGTCTCTCTATTTTGTTATTTCTACATTTCTAACCCCTAGTTGCACCGTCTGTCTGTTTGATTATATATATATATATATATATATATATATATATATAAATATTTCTTATTTTCTTTTGTCTTCCTTGGCACTCTTCTTCACTCTTTTGTTCAGTGTATTGTAGCTTGCATTCAACTCCTGTTGTTGTTGCTCGTCGGTGCACTGGATAATCTTTTGTTTCACTATCCTTCTCTCTTCTATTAGTTTCCAAGTGTCCGTAGTGAGCCACTGTTTGTCCTGTCTCTTTTTTCTGCCTAGAACTTCCACGCAGGTTTGACTCCACACCGTTTTTAAGTTGTCCCAGTGCTTTTCGACGCCGACCTCTTCGCTGGTGTTGATTTGTGTCTCGGTTTCGGCCCTTATGCTTTCAATGAAGATGTTTTTTGTAGCCTGGTCCTTCAGCTTTTGAGTGTTGAACTTGGCTTGTGGTCTGTCTGCAGCTCCTCCTTCTCTGAAAGCTTTTAGTTTGATTTGGATTGTCCCTTGTACGAGATAGTGGTCTGAGCCAACGTCTGCTCCTCTTCTTACTTTTATGTGCAGTAGGCTGCGCCTCCAATTCCTTGAGATTGAGATGAAGTCAATTTGGTTTTTGGTTTGCCCGTCTGGTGACACCCATGTAGCCTTGTGGATATCTTTGTGTTTGTATACACTGCCACCAACCACTAGTTTGTTGAAGGCGTAGAAGTCGGCGAAGAGTTCTCCATTTTCATTCATTTCTCCGAGAGCTTCTCTACCCGAGATGAGTTCCCTTCCTGTGTTGTCTGGTCCCAGTTTGACGTTCATGTCTCCCATTAATATTTTAATGTCGCCAGCTGGAGTATTGTCGATTGTTGCCTGTAATTGTCTGTAGAATTCTTCTTTCTTTTCGAGGTCTGCGTTGTTTGTGGGTGCATAACATTGTATAATTGACACTTTCTTTCCTTTGGAGTTGCATCTGGCGGTCATTATCCTGGACGAGATCGCCTCCCATTGCATCAGAACCTTTGTTGCCGTTGGTGATATCATGATAGCCACGCCCTTGGTGTGCGTGTGGTTATCTTCTGAGTGACCGGAGTAGATCACTGACTCACCCGTTGACAATTTGGTGAGTCCACTCCCACTCTATCTGCTTTCACATATTCCCAGCACTTGGATTCCGTATCTTTTCATCTCGTTTGCGATCTGGGCAGCTTTTCCAATCTCGTACATAGTGCAGACGTTCCATGTCCCCACACAGACTTTTTCTTTTGGTGCAAAGAGGTTCATCGTGCTGAAGTTTCTGTAGCAATTTTGTTTGCAGGGTATTAGATAAACTAAATTGTTTTGTTTTAAAGGCTCCACAGGAATGATCCTTTAACCGACAAAGCTTGTTTTAATTGACTTTGTGGAGAGGGTTGAATTTTAGCCACTTTTATTCCTGCCCGGCTTGTTAGGAATTCTGTGTAAGGTAATATCCGGGGTTCCTTTCTTGTATGGAATTACTACTGATGATTTAGATTCCTTATTGTTGATGTTGTCTCCGCATGTTTTGACATGCGATACTGGACCATCTGGTGCAAACCGGCCAGCTGGACACAAAACCAGCTGTCAATCAGCCAGTGTGGAAGAATCCTTCTCTATCATCATCTACCGGGTGTCTAATAAATTGACAAAATCATCATCAAATCATCGCACACTCCAAATAGCAGAGGCTATTTCAATTCGCCTCAAACAACCAGTGCTCTGTGTGTGGAGAAGAAGCAAGTCCAGCCAGCTAGCCACTACTACTGCCCTGGCTGACCGGCCTTCAGTAGAGACTATAAATTCATGAATTTGTAATATTATCTTTCCTAATTCAACTGGCATTCAGTTTATTGTTTTGTTGATGCTATTGAACTGTAATCCACTGGTATTACAGTGGATTACTGATTCGATGTTATTTAAACAGCAACATGAATGTTGTTGTTCATAACACTAAATCATTCATTCATTCAGTATAATGGATGGATATATAACTCTAGAACCTGATAATGTTGAAGGGGTTATCGAAAAGAGTATTTATTCTTTAATCAGTATCGATTCTTTTGAAAAATTATTAATTAGTTAAGCTTTATAAAACGTTCATCTTGCTTCCCTACATGTTTCTTTACTTTGGCCTTTTTACATTGTGCCCGTATAATTGTCTGCCTCCAAAGCCTCAGTATGGTCAGGGGTGGGTGTCTTGCGCTGCGGGTTGGCCACCCCCCCACCTCCGTACACCTCTTGAAATGCTCCCATATATGACCGGGCGTCTTACGTAGCCTCTCCTGAAGAAGTCCTACTCACTGCCTTCACATGGCGGAGGTGTTTTTCACCACTGAAGTGAGAGGGCAAAAGCGGATGCCCGGCGCTCTTCATCGGGTTGACTGCCCATTGGATGACAGTCTAGGGGAGATGGCTAAACCCTGCCTGATTCCAAACCTCCAACGACTGGCGTATGAAGTTCACCGGAGCTCACTGGTAGGCAGACGTATAGACAAAGGGCTTATTGGATGCCCTGGTGCATGTCTGGCCCCATTCAAAAAGGCGTATGAACCGGACTCCGGTCATCGGCTGGCTTTCAATGGATAGTGGACTCCCTACTCCACTCCTACTGCCTTGTAGGAGGTCACACTTGGTTGGTTGTGTAAAGGCTAGAGCTGCACTCTCAAACAGAAGGCCGAGCGATTCTGGGGACATCACTCGTACTTAATTCCCATGAAACTTCGTGAACTCTTGTTCATGAAGCCGGCTCATCCTCCCGTAGGAGATAGCTGAAGTAAAGTAAAGTAAGTAAGTATAATTGTCTGCTCATTATAATTTTTTTGTGTTACTACTAAGTTTGTATAAATAAAAAATAAAAGTCAATGCAACCTCATGTGTGTGTATCTACCACTTCAACTGCTTCTGTGGATTGAACCAGTCAGTTACTTGCAAAGGCCATACACAATTAGGCGTGTTTGCCGTCGGATTTCCCAACATCACCCTACATGCACAGTGATTGGTTGATTGGTTAAGTAACGGACAAACAAAATCTGTTCACAGCGCTATTCTATCTCACTCATCTTGTGGATACAGAACACAACACAAGACTGATTGATGTTAACAAGGCGGCTTTACGGGTCATTTACCTACCGCATACAAACCAGCAAATCTCAATTTCGCCTTAAGACTAGTTCGACTACTAAATATTCCTGAAGCTGGCTGGCTGGTTGGCCATTAGGATCCATATTAACAAGCCTAATTTGTGCATCCAAAAGAAGTTGGTTAGTTCAGACATTATCCATCATTACCCACTTGGCCATCCATCCAGGTTTGAATGATCCTGAATTTTTGTAGAATTTCCCTAACTTTAGTTGATATTCTATTTGCTATTATATCTTTATTATTATTATAATCTATGCATCTTTTGTGGACTATAATAGACTACTAATCTAGAATATTCTATGTATATAAAAATGCATATATATATATATATATATCCCTTCCTGGTTCAATTATATTTTGTGTTTTATAGATGTCTGAATAACCCCGGTGGGTGCGTACTGCTGAGGAGTCCCAAACTAGGCTGACGAAACAGCTGTCTGGCAGTACTCCCAGGTTTTCCAGTGGTTCTCTAACTGATGTAAGCTCATGATTAAATCCTCCATATAATTAAAATTGTAAAAAAAAAAGCCTACCGACTTATCAGTAGCAGCAGCAGCCGCCTCAGACTTCCTAACTTGAAACTGTTCATCATCATGCAGATTTGACGTAAAATCTTCCAACTGGTGGTTATAAGTCGACTTTTCCATAGAAGGATCAAATGGAAATGAATAAGACTTCGTCAAGTCATCTGAAAGGCAGGAAACGCTCTCCAAACTATCATTTACAAGGTAGCATTCCGATTCAGCTAAAATCAGAAACAAACAAACAAACAACAAAAAAATAGTTTACAAGTAAGAAAAATACCAAAACTAGTTAACATTATTTTATAAGAATAAAAGCTTGTTCACTGTGGTTGTGGTAGAGTATAATTCCATTATGGGTGAAATTTTATTTTTGATAAAGTCTCACAGTGTTGTTGTTGTTGTTATACAGTGATGTTTATTGATGACCACGTTTCGAGCACAATTTATTATTGCTACTCATAACCATATCAAGGCATTACTCACACAACTTTTTTAACCTTGTTTATATAATATAATATCTTCCATATTTCCGATATGAGTGGTGAGTCATTCCTATTGCATGTATTGGATGTAGACTCGATGAACCAGGCAGGATTCAGTAATCAACCTCTCTCTATCTTCACCTACCTAGAATACTTCTTAGAATCTTAACCCTCTCCTACCCACCATGCTACTGTGTGATTGTGTGTTAATGCATGCATGCAGTGTACTGTAGTCCTGAGCTATTTTCAAAATAACTTATCTACTCGGCTGCGGTCAACCATTCTTACCTTAGCTGAATTCTTATATTCCGACAATCTCACTACCCCCAACCTGCTAGTCTGACCTATACAGTTGACCTAACTCACAGTGATTACTTACTTTGCAACCCCATTCAACACGGTTGCAAAGATTCGGGCATCGCACCCCGTGGTGTCGAAGTAGTTTACAAATTACTTCTCGATCAACGCCATCTTTCGAAGGTCTTTTCGTGGTTGATAAAGTTGAGGTAGAGGTTTGATTGCCATTCCATGCTTTGTTCTGGGATGACGATGCGTGAAGTTACAATTTGACCAGCCCATGATTTGCCTTTCCTTGAATCCAGTCAGCTTGTTCCGGTGGGTGTGGTGGAGTTGTGCATCCATCCAGTGCATGTTTTATTCTCTCCAGGATGACGCGATTGAGTGTTTTGCTTGGCGTGCACAAGACAGACAGTAACGACAAGGTAGCACACACACCGACGTCATGGTGAGTTATTTACCACTTAGCGGTAGACGTTTATTTTTATTATTATTATATTATTATTGCTCCCTTGGGTTCCTAGTGGAACACAGGCCTTCAACTGCACGTCTCCACTTGCTTCTGTCTTCTGCTGTGCTTTTCACCTGCATCCATGTTAGTCCATACTGTTTCAACTCCTCTTCACACCATCACCTCCTCCATGTCACCCTTGCACTGACGTCCCACACGCCGCTTCCCTTTCGGGTTCCACTCCAGCAATGGCCTGACGCGCGCGCGATGTCACCCAGCGGCCTCCTCAGTGAGTGTCCAATCCATCTCTTCACTTTCTCCTGCATATTTGTTGTTGATGGGCGATTGGTTCTTGTTTTATTTGTTCCCATAGTTTCTTGTTGTTGGTGATTCTTTCCAGCCCAGCCATATCTGATCTTCAGTATAGAGTGAAGACAGTTAGTTGTTGATAAAGGTCTGCAACAGGCTGTTGGAAATATTCTTTGTGACCCACCCGCCCAGTTTCTGATCCGTTCCGTATAGAAGAACTGAGCGACTTGACGTTTGTTTTGAAAATCCGAATTTTGTTGTTGATGCTGAGTGACGAAGATTTCCAGATTGGTCTCAGGTTGATGAATAAATGTGTTTCTCGCCTTCCCGATTCTCGCTCGATTTGACATCCTCGTCCGTTCCTCCTGTAGTCGAGACAATGCTCCCTAGATAAGTAAGTGAGTGAAGTAACCTCTTTCAAATCCCTCCCGTCGATGGTGATTGTTTTTTGTTTTGTTTTGTTTTGATTACAGCTTGATTCCACACCGTATTTTTGGTACAAGTATGGAATTTTCAGCATGGATATCGGTAGCCCAAATTATGCAGGCCGACCATAGATATCAGGTGTGCGTCGGAGCGGGCTCGAACCCCAGACCATGTGCATGGTCGGCAAGAGTCCTAACCACTGTGCCACCGACGCTGGATGTTGCTGCTGTTGTTGTTGGTTGGTTATTTTCATAACCTCCGTCTCGTCTATGTTCACCTGGAGTCCTGTCTTCGCCGGCTGCTTCTTCGACCAGTTTGTCGGTTTTCGCTTGTAAGTCTTGGATTTTGTGTGACATCAAACATAAATCATCGCCACGCGAAATCCAGGTCTTCTAGGTTCTTCACATCGGTCCAGGATATTCCTGTCTTCTCGTTTCCCACTGTCTGACACATAATCCAGTCCACCACAATTAGGAATATCATTGGTGAAGAAAAGTATAGTTTCTTTTGGTCGGACGATCACTTGGAAAGAAAACGCGGTATTTTCACTGATAATGATCGGAGAGAGAGACGTAAGCTGCTTCAAAACATTTGGGCCGCCCTCAGTAAGCTTAGCTTTCTATATCATAGGAGCTCAGGATTATTCGATAGCACTGGGGTAATAGGATATATTTGTTTGAAAAACTGGCTTTACGAAGCGACAATTGAATACTTACTTATTATGACTGATGGTCAGCAATTAAATAAGTAATTCAAATAAATCAATTAAACAGGTTTTGCTTGGTGTACAGGTGGCTGAAAAATGATGTATATAATTTAACTAAATACATATTTACACAAACCTTGCCTAGATTACTAGCTCGCTAGTTTTCTAGCCGGTCCCAAGCCCGGATAAAGAGGGAGGGTTGGCGCGTGGTGCTAGCAACTCCACCTCCAAAACTTAACCAAAACGCTACAGAAACTACAACGCACAAATATATTAAAAATTCTGAAAATATAAACAATAACCTTATTTTTCGCTGGAATCGGGGAAGTCTGTCTCTGTTTTCGACATAGAACTTTGCACAAATGTGCGGAAGTTCAAGTCGCCACATTCCGTGTAACACGCGAAGCAAGAGAAGAAAGTACAAGAAAAGCATAATAGAAACAGTGAGCAGAGGTGTGAGACAAAGGAGTAATAAAGAAATACAAAACAGTTTCATTGAAGATCATAAGTCACAGGGAGTGGATGCATCTGCGCCACTGAGAACGATTTTGAGCCATGTCACCAATTGTTTCCAACCATAGATTTTTACCGTCCCGAGGACCCCAGCCTGGAAGTCTACACCTTTCTACGTGGCTTAGACCAACTGTTGTGGATTTCATTGACTGATGCCAAGTTTTTGCTTGACCGCCGCTAGCTTTTTTCCAGCCTGACCCTATATCCGCTAACATTGCTCGTCGAGGGAGGCGATGGCTTGGCATACGTAACACATGTCCTAACCATCTCAGTCTTTGTAGCTTCACGACTTCGTCGATTGATTTCCCCTGTTTACCTAGAACTCTACGCCTAACCTCCATGTTGCTCACCTTATTATGCCACTTTACACGGGAAATAGAACGCAGGCACCTATGATCAAAGACAGCTAGTCACCCTTTTCATGTCTTCCACTTTCAGTGGCCAGGTCTCACAACCATAAAGGAGGACGGAGCGGACTGATGAGCAGTACACCCGCCCTTTGGTCGATAGTCGAACATCTCGTCTACGCCAGAGTCGGCGTAAACTAACAAATGCGAAACGAGCCCCTTGTATTCGTGCTGAGATTTCGTCAGAGATCAGCCCGTTGGGGCTGATGGTACTTCCCAAATAAGTGAAGCGGTCAACGTGCTCTACCACTTCACTTCCTATTTTTAAACTAGGCGTCGGGGAAGTGAAATGACGCAGGCTGGTGAAAGCCTTCGGGAAGCCAGTCAGCCGATGTGCCTTCTTTCGATGAAAGCAAATATAAGGACGGGTACATGGAATGTTCGTACAATGTACGAAGCTAAAAAGGCTGTCCAGGTAACCACAGAAATGAGAAGGTATAGAACAGAAGTGTTGGTAATCTGTGAGAGCAGATGGAACGGATGTGGAAGGCGCCAACTACCTACTGGAGAGACAGTAATCTATTCCGGCCACCTAGAGGACAACCATGAGCACACCGAGGGAGTGGCCATTATGATGTCATCAACGGGAGCCAAAGTTCTCATGCAGTGGGAACCAATCTCCTCCAGGATAATGACAGCTAGGTTCAACTCAAAAGGAAGGAAGGTTACAATCATTCAGTGCTATGCGCCAACAAACGTCTCAGAACAAGAGTTTTTTGAGGCTTTCTACAGACAACTACAAACAGTAATGGACAACGTCCCAAATGGCGATATCAAGATCCTGATGGGTGATATGACGGCGAAGCCGGGAGGAGACAATACAGGAAGATAACCCACCATGGGTCGCAAGGCCCTCGGTGAAATGAACAACAATGGTGAACCCTTCTCAGACGTCTTTGCCTTCAATGATCTGGTGATTGGTGGCAGTGTGTTCAAACACAAGGATATACGCAAGGCGACATGGATTTCACCAGATGGAAACACCAAAAACCAGATAGACTTCATTTCAATCTCAAGAAAGCGGAGACGGAGCCGCTCAGTCCGCTTCATCCTCCTTTATGGCCAGCTGTGAGACCTGGCCACTAACAGTGGAAGACATGAAATGACTAGCTGTCTTTGATCATAGATGCCTGCGTTCTATCCCCCGTGTTAGTTGGTGGTATAATAGGGTGAGCAATATTGAGATTACGCGTCGAGCTCTAGGTAAACAGGGGAAATCAATCGACGAAGTTGTGAAGTTACAAAGACTGAGGTGGTTAGGACATGTGTTACGTATGCCTAGTCATCGCCTTCCTCGACAATGGGCAATGTTAGCTGATATAGGGTCAGGCTGGAAAAAAGCTAGCGGCGGTCAAGCAAAAACTTGGCACCAGTCAATGAAATCTACAACTGTCTGTCTGTCTGGATTCAACATAGAGCTTGGCACCGAAGTGCACCAGTTCGAGTTGCCACGTTCCAAATAGCACACAGAGGTAGACAAGAAGATGAGGGAAGAGAATCAATACAGTCTGACAAGTATAAGAGTGAAACAGAATGGGTAATGGTAGAAAGGAATAACGAAGATTACAGAAACTGAATACATCTGCGCCATTGACAACGATTCTGAGCCATTTCACCTATTGTCTCCAGCCATTGATTCCTAAAGTCCCGAGGGCCCCAACCCGGAAGTCTGCATCTCCCTCCCTACCTGACTCAGTTTAACTGTCAAGGATTTCATGGATTGATGAGGCCATGTTTTTGTTTGACCACCACTGGCTCTTTTCCAGCCTGCACCTATATCAGCTAGTAATGCCCGTCAGGTGGGGGAGGCGATGGTTAGGCATGCGCACCACGTGACCTAGCCATCTCAATCTATGTAACTTTATAGCCTCGTCGATTGATTTTCCCTCTTTGCCTGGCCAACACTCTACGCCTAACGTCAACATCACTTACCTTGTGAAACCACCTAACGTGAGACAGAGATCGCAGACATCTATGATCGAAAGCAGTCAACCTTTTCATGTCTTCAACGCGTATTGGCCATGTTTCAGAGCCATAGAGAAGGACGAAGCGAACTGGTGAGCAGTACACACGTCCCTTGGTTGATAACCAACCGGATGTCACGCCTATGCCAGAGATGGTGTAAGTCAGCGAAAGCAGCTCGAGCTGTTCGGATCCGTGCTGAGATTTCATCGCCAATCAGTTCGTTGGTGCTAATACAACTTCCCAAATAGGTGAAGTGGTCAACATGTTCTATCACTTCACTCCCTATCACTAAGTTAGGAGTTGACGTGGTCCAGTCCTGTAGCAGCATCTTACATTTTGTAGGGGCGAATCGCATGCCAAACATACGAAGATTGCTGCTCAAGGTGTTCAGAAGACTCTGCATTTTGTCACCATCCTCCCCTAACAGGACTATGTCATCTGCATATTCTAAGTCCATAAGACTATTCCCTGGTAACAAGTCGATTCCTAAGTCATTACGTTCAGTTAAGGATACTTCCATCAGCATATCTATGATGAAGTTAAACAGAAATGGAGAAAGTGGACATCCCTGTCGGACACCACTGGTTGTTACCAATTCAGATGACAAACCAATTCAGATGACAACAGTTAGTCTAAGCCACGTAGGAAGTTGTAGACTTCCAGGTTGGGGTCCTCTGGATGGTAAAAATCAATCGTTGGAAACAATTGGTGATATGGCTCAAAATCGTTCTCAGTGGCGCAGATGCATCCACTCCTTGTGATTTATGGTTTCCAATGAAACTGTTTTGTTCTTCGTTATTACTCTTCCTTTGTCTCACACCTCTGCTTACTGTCTCTATTATGCTTTTCTTGTACTTTCTTCTCTTGCTTTGTGTGCTACATGGAGGGAGTGTGGCGACTTGAACTGGTGCACATATGTGCAAAGTTCTATGTTGAAAACAGACAGAGACAGACGAAGCCTACTGGACACAAGATTGAGGAGAGGAGCAGATGTGGGTTCAGACCACTCTCTAGTACAAGGGACTTTCAAGGTGAAGCTAAAAGCCCTGAGGATAGCTGGAGATAAGCCACAATACAAGTTCAACACTCAAAAACTGAAGGGCACAACCAAAAAGGACACTTTCACTGCAACTGTCAGAGCAAAACAGGAAACACTACGTGATATCACTGAAGAATCATGCGTGGAAGACCACTGGGACCCTCTGAAGGTGATTCTCAACGAAACACGTTCAACGGTTTTAGGAAGAAAGAAGAGACAAGACAAGGAATGGCTCTCAATGAACACTTGGAAGCTAATAGAGGGGAGGAGAATGGTGAAAGAGAAAATGATTCAATGCAAAGACGGACAACAGAGGGAGACGCTGAGCTCAAATTACACAGCACTGGACAAAGAAGTGAAGAAGAGTGCTAGGAAGGAAGACAATTCTACGACAACCTGGCCACTGAAGCTGAGAAGGCAGCAGGCAAAAGGGACCAGAAGACACTATATCAGGTAACCAGTTAAGTCTTTATCCTGGAAGAGATAAACACAAGTGAAACCTATAAAGGACAGCAAAGGGAACCCAATTATCAAGGAACAAAGACAGATTAAACAATGGGTGGATCACTTCAAAGGACTCTTGAACCGACCACGACCTGCAACCCGTCCAGAAATACCAACAACAGAGCGTACACAACTGCAAGTTGACACCAATCTTCCAACGAAAGCTGAAGTCTTGAATGAAATCAAGCTTCTGAAAGCTGGAAAAGCAGTTGGACCAGATGGAATACCCCCTGAAGCACTGAAAGTGGACCCAGAGACGACAGCAGATATGCTAACTCCATTACTGCAAAAGGCCTGGAAGGAGGGAAAGGTGCCTACTGACTGGAGGAAATGTTACCTCGTGAAACTAACAGAGGAAGGCGACATAGGACTTTGCAAGAACTGGTGCGGAATCGTGCTCCTGTCGACGCCAAGTAAAATCCTGAGTCGCATCGTCCTGAAGAGAATAAAGGACACACTGGATGCAGAACTCCGACCAGAACAAGCTGGATTCAGGGAACTCAGGTAAATCATGTTCTAACCAAATTTCAACTCTACGCATTATCATCGAACAAAACATGGAATGGCAATCAAACCTCTAACTCAAATTTATAGACTTTGAGAAGGCCTTCACCAGAAGGCGTTGACCGCGAAGTAATTTGGAAACTACTCGGTACTACGACGTACCCCAAATATTCACCAACCTTATTCAACAGCTGTACGACAACGGCACATGTCAAATGATCCACAACGAAAACTCGGCGAGGTGTTTGGAGTAAACGCAGGAGTCAGACAAGAGTGCTTATTATCACCAGCTAATGATATTCCTAATTGTGGTGAACTGGATTATGTATCAGATATTGGGAAAGAGTAGACAGGGATATCCTGGAACGACGTGAAGAACCTAGAAGACCTGGATTTCGCGTGGCGATGATTTATGTTTGATGTCACACAAAATCCAAGACTTACAAGCGAAAACCGACAAACTGGTCGAAGAAGCAGCCGGCGAAGACAGGACTCCAGGTGAACATAGACGAGACGGAGGTTATGAAAATAACCAACCAACAACAACAGCAGCAACATCCAGCGTCGGTGGCACAGTGGTTAGGACTCTTGCCGACCATGCACATGGTCTGGGGTTCGAGCCCGCTCCGACGCACACCTGATATCTATGGTCGGCCTGCATAATTTGGGCTACCGATATCCATGCTGAAAATTCCATACTTGTACCAAAAATACGGTGTGGAATCAAGCTGTAATCAAAACAAAACAAAACAAAAAACAATCACCATCGACGGGAGGGATTTGAAAGAGGTTACTTCACTCACTTACTTATCTAGGGAGCATTGTCTCGACTACAGGAGGAACGGACGAGGATGTCAAATCGAGCGAGAATCGGGAAGGCGAGAAACACATTTATTCATCAACCTGAGACCAATCTGGAAATCTTCGTCACTCAGCATCAACAACAAAATTCGGATTTTCAAAACAAACGTCAAGTCGCTCAGTTCTTCTATACGGAACGGATCAGAAACTTGGCGGGTGGGTCACAAAGAATATTTCCAACAGCCTGTTGCAGACCTTTATCAACAACTAACTGTCTTCACTCTATACTGAAGATCAGATATGGCTGGGCTGGAAAGAATCACCAACAACAAGAAACTATGGGAACAAATAAAACAAGAACCAATCGCCCATCAACAACAAATATGCAGGAGAAAGTGAAGAGATGGATTGGACACTCACTGAGGAGGCCGCTGGGTGACATCGCGCGCGCGTCAGGCCATTGCTGGAGTGGAACCCGAAAGGGAAGCGGCGTGTGGGACGTCAGTGCAAGGGTGACATGGAGGAGGTGATGGTGTGAAGAGGAGTTGAAACAGTATGGACTAACATGGATGCAGGTGAAAAGCACAGCAGAAGACAGAAGCAAGGGGAGACGTGCAGTTGAAGGCCTGTGTTCCACTAGGAACCCAAGGGAGCAATAATAATATAATAATAATAATAATTCATATTTACACAAATAACTAATAAGTTATCAGTATTTTGTTTGTCCTTCTCAAAGTAAGTCCACCTCATCTTAAATAAAGTTTTATTTAATTAGAAACGGATAGCCTGGGGCAGCGACTTGCTTTAAAGGCAGTAAGTGGCGGAATACATTGTGTCGTCACAACGGACAGATTTCAAGAAATATGGTGACTATTGTCTTAAATTAGGAATACACATTCCGAAATCTATTTCGTTCCCTATATTTTATTTACAGACTGGTGTATACACTCAATAGCTATCGAAACCAGACATTAGTATTACACGGTAAACTAGTTATTGTTGTGGGGGTTAAAAAATATCCCTCAAAATAAGAAATGCTATATAAAAAGCGGAATGTCACCACCGAGAAACGACTTACAAGTCTCCACACCAGCGGTTAAGGTTTCATGTGCTACCTGAATAGTTTCAACATTATCTAGTTCTTTCGAGCTATCACTGTGACGACTATTAATTCCATGTAAGGATGACGTATTGTCCAGACTTAGGACTTCGTCGGATATATCGAGAACTTCATCAATTTTTTGCTGTGCACTTTTTAGAGCAGTAATTGCCAACTTAGATATGTTCCCCGCCTTCTCCAGAGAATCCCACCAAGGCATTATTAAACCTCCTCAACCGATCTTTAACCCTGAAGGTTACACAGCATTCGAAAGGGACACCTGTGATTCAATGACAAATATTCGTAAATTTGGTAAAAGTTTACATCTATAGATCTTATATGATACCGATTTAAAGTTAGATGCCACAAAGTTATTTTGAAATATTTAAAACTAGTGTGATACTTGGCATTTTAAGTTGGCTAATTAGAAAATAACTAAGATTAAGGAACATTAGATGCTGCGACTTTTGAATTCCTCACCTCTGAATCTGGAGAACTAGGTGTCCTGATACATCCTGTTTAATCTGATACCATCACAAAAAATCTGCTCCCTCATCCACACAGAAATCCAACCCTATTATGGATGCGCTTCGAAAAATAGTATGTCATTCATTCGATATGAAGTAACCTCTACTTTTGTTGTGTACATCGCGCAAAAGTTTTTGGTTTACTTTAACTGGTTTGACTAGTTTAAGTATTGTTTTCTGTGCACTTTTGTGACTTTCTGTGTGGTTTTCATATATATGTGTTTAGGTTTTAAGCATAAGAGTAATTTAAGCAGCTTATACCAACATGAGTCTCACTAATAGCTGTGGACGACTGAGCTGCCACTTTCCGGTGGATGATGGGATTCAGTGTGACAACTGCAACCTCTGGTTTCACAAAGTTCGCACAGGCTTATCACCATAAGCCTATAGAAGATACAGCAATCCCTCGTCTCCCTGGATGTGCAAATTTTGTAGCAGCCCGTTGGACGTCCTCATCCAACAGGCCATAAGACATCTTAAGTCCGAAACATTGACAAAAATCTCAAATGAGAGGAAAAAGCCAGCATCTGAAACTAATACCATGAAAGGTGATTCTGGACTGAATCATAAGACGGACACAGAACCACATCTCGAAGCTTTGAAAGACACAGTGGAGTTAGAGTGTGCCCAAAAGTCTGCAACATCATGCGAAATTCTCGAAAATCTAAGAGGGCAAGCAGTGCCAACATTGTAACATCGCCAAATGGTACCACAGTAACGAAGCATTTCGTGTCTGGTGAATGAATGGCTTCCAACTGCGGCGAGAGCAAAGTGGAAGTAACTAATTCCACTTGGTCTGTGGCAACAAATACGAGGCTGAAGAACAGTAGGAGAGAGAAAAAGACTGGGCTTAGTGGTAAGGTCTCGACGGCCGTAAACCTGAATAAGACTGTAAAACCTCCGGATTCAAATTACAGTATCGCTATATGGAACTTGAAGGGATCAAAGAAAGTAGATACGGCTGCTTAACAGGCCTATGATCCCGAGGTGGTTAGCTCCATCATTCGTGAAGTACTTCCTGAGAAAACAAATGGAGTTCTCATAAGAAAAGTCATTAGAATCAGTAAACGAACGGCCGACTCAACGGAAAATTCCCCACGGCTGCTGAAGAACGTACCGAGAAACGAGATGGAGGAAGGTATTATTCTCAGCAACCCATTCAAGGTTTAGGAAAAAATGATGAGAATAAAGCCCAAATGGCCGCTGGAAAATAGAACTAGTAGAAGAGAAGCCGTGGCTGAATTAAGGGCCAAGCTGTATAAAGGTGGGAAACACCTTAAACTGTGGGGTTTTCAGGTAGTGAGATCTCGGAAACCTATGTTGCCTAGACCTCTGTTCATAAGTTTAGCGAACACGTGGGTCTATTATTATGCTGTAGGAACGCGTGTACTCTTAGGAATAAGCTTCCTGAACTAAGAGCGTTTTCTGAAGGACTACAACTTGATGTTATTGCTACCACTGAAACATGGTTGTTAGTGGGTGTAAACTTAACTCCATTCATGCCTGGATATATCTGCATTAGAGCACTTGAATGAGCACTTGTGCAGTGTATTGATGCGCCAACACGATATAACCTTGAACTTGATCTATCCACTCTAGACTTGGTGCTAACACACCAGGAAGAGGATTTCCGTGACCCCGGTTGCCTGGAGCCGCTAGGCAGTAACGACTACATAGTTATCACTATTACTTTAAGGATTCACGCTACCATGCACAGTTCAACAGCCGCTCGTTCAAACATTAAGAAAGCGAATATACCTACAACCCGAAATGTAGCAACAGTAGCTGGCTAGTCTGTTGGCACACACCAGACTGTCGATGAGGCTTGCGTGGGATTTAGGAATACACCAGGTTGTTTCCCTGCACCCTTTGTACCTTGGCCTACGCCTCGAAAACTGTCCACCACTTGCTACGCTGGACCTCACGCTGTCCCTCGAAGACTTTCAGAAACGCTTTGTATTAACCAACGCGAAAACAAGAACACTGACTGACTATTCAAGAATCCTTTATTCTTACGCCAACATGTAATCAAATATAAGGTTATTATATGCAAGGTTTCTGATAGTTTTCTGTCTTCCACAGAACAGCGAGCGATGAGACGATGACTGGCTGATTGAAGACCCGCGATGTCAGACACGTCTTGTGAACCGTTAATGCCCAGCTATTGTTACGCTCGGGCTCACGCTGTTCCATGAAGTTTATCAGAAACGCTTAGTTATAACGGACGCAAAACCCAAAACAACGATTGGCCGCTTTAGAATTCTTTATTGTAACACCAACATATAAAAAATATTTCTACTAAGGTCTGTGAACAAATATTACAATAATAAATCACAAGATTACTTCTGATGGTTTACTGCTGACTTCTTTCTGAACAGCGACCGATGAGACGATGACTGGTGTAGTGATGTCTCCGCGAAAATCGGGGAAGTTGATTTTGAGCAAACAACCATGAATTGATCGTTCAATCTTCAACTCCATTGACACTCCCCGGCAAAAAAGGGATCCAACCCTTTTTTCCTTCACGATCAATGCACGTTGACTTGGATGCCATTGCGAGAACCTGGGTCACACGGACAGAGCTGAAATGGAAAACAAACAGAAAAGCCAACACACCACAAGCATACCACCCACAGCACAATCTCACACATCAATGACGACCTGCGCCTCCAGACAGAGACCTCCTCTTGACATCTTGCAACACAATCGCCGCTTGCTAGAATGACTCTTGCAGAATGCAATGTGACCATAGCACCACCTCACGATACTCTACGCACATCCTCGTATCTACTCACTACTAATTACCACTGAAATCGTTGGTCACTCATTCTGCCTCAGTTCTAATAGCGGTGACGCATGCGAGCCTCAGTCGTTTACACTCTTTCTCCCCGGCGTGTCGGACCGCAGCTAACAATTATCTCCGTGTGCATTTCATTCTCAGCAATAGCCTCCCCGGCGTATACGACCCATCTGCTGTCCTTAACATCAATCAATTCATTCACGGATGTAGAAGAGTGGCCACAACTTCAGAAGTAATCACGACGAAAATTTTAACAAAATTATGCAATAACAACAAGGTACGAAAACAACGAGTAAACACAATGAATCCAAAAAACACCAATTGATATGACACACCACACATATATACAAACTGTACACAAAAACTCGCGGATCATGTCTTGATGGAATACCTTTGAAGAATCGCAGGACTTACACCAGTACGCCTACAACCCTTCTCACGTTGACGATTGTAAGTTGTGGAACGTCCGGACACAAACAAGATTAACCAACAATTACAATAATTGGAACTCACACAACTATTTAACACAAACATATGTACAATCACTACATCAAATGTTGTGGATTCCGGCATGACGAACTACCCTTGAATAACTGTAGGACATACAGCAGTACGCCTACATTCCTTCTCAGGTTGATGATCCAAGAGGAAGTCGTCCGGACACAAACAGAATTACCAACAGCTAGATGACAGATGATATCAATTCAGTATATACAATATGAACATATGTACAAAATCACACACCGAGCACATTCGACTGCTCATTGATGCGCTACCCTTTGAAGAACTGTAGGACTTACACCAGTACGCCTACAACCCTTCTCAGGTTGACGCCCTAGGTTGGAAAATCGTCGCAGAGTTCATTTGCTAACTTCCTTCCATGAGCTATATTGTCAGTGGAGTTGAAGATTGAACGATCAATTCTTGGTTGTTTGCTCAAAATCAACTTCCCCGATTTTCGCGGAGGCATCAATACGACAGTCATCGTCTCATCGGTCGCTGTTCAGAAAGAAGAGTGAAACATCGTCAGAAGTAATATAACGATTTATTATTGTAATATTTGTTCACAGACCTTAGTTCGCTTATTCCTTTTATATGTTGGTGTAACAATAAACAAATCTAAAGCGGCAGATCGGTGTTTTGGTTTTTGCGTCCGTTATAACTAAGCGTTTCTGAGAAATCTTCGAAGAACAGCGTGGGCCCGAGCGTAGCGAGAGCTGGGCATTAACGGTTTATGAGACGTGATTGACAGTTTCTGACGATAGAAACAGATCTGGCGGATTGAAACAGTTGGTGAAAGTTTGGATAGTCGCCGTTCATCTTTCCTGGTGCCGGTCAAGTCCTCTTTGAACAAGCAATATCTGGAACTTTTTGGAATTGGGTCAAGTTCAACAATGCCTGGGTCAAAGAAGGGACAGAGTGTCTTGGATGCAAACAGGAAAGTAAGTCATGGTGACTTGTCTGTTAATTGTAACGATGTGTCTGATGTTAAGCATGACATGGTTGATGTTACTGTTTCGCCGTTCAGGGATAATAGGAACATCAAACTCCCTAAATTTGAACCACGGTGTTTTGATGGAAACCCGGCTGATTATTTACAATTTGTAAAGGAGTTTGAGATCATGTTGAGTGGTTTTTTATTAAATGATGAATTGAAGTTAATGTATTTGATGAGATATTGCACTGGAGATGCTGCAAGAGCTATACAGTGTTGTAAGTTTATGAAGCCAAAAGAGGGCTACTACGAGGCTATGAGCATATTACGTCAAAGGTTTGGAAGACCTTCGATGATTGCAGGGAAATTATTCGAGGCTGTTAAGGGTAATGGTGGTCAATTACAGGATGACTCCCAGGCACTCACTGAGTTTTTAGATAATTTGCTAATTTACAAGA